GTATTATTTACTGATTAGTATGCTATGTTAAATATCGCCTATCATGTTTTCAGCTAATCTTCACAATATTTGTTTTACCATTAGGGCAGTGTCTCACTTTGCATTTTGATTTATTATTCACAACGAGACTAGACAAGGCTGTCCTCTATCCCCTATGATATTTGTTCTAACTCCTGCACCAATTGTTCAACATGTCTGTAATAACCCAGACATTTCTGGTTTACTTTCATGAGGTCATCACCACAAGATTGCAGCAAATGGCAATGACCTGCTTTTTTACAGATCCAACCCTCCAATTCTATTGTCCTATTTACAAGAACTACGGACATATGGCTCCTCGTCAAACTTCAAAGTTAATCTGTGAAAATCAGAGGCTTTAAACATAACCCTAGACGAAACTACTTTGAAGACCCTCCGCCCTATTTTTCAATTCTGGTGTGCAACCCAGTCTATCAAATACCTGGATACACACATACCAGCATATCCCAGTTTGATATTTTAAACTAAATTTTCACCTACTTTCAAATTCTTTGAGGAAGAATCTTGGTGTATTGAGTAAGCTTGCATTTATTTGGTTCAGGAGGTACTGTATAATGTTTTAAAAATGAACGTGATACCCCAGCTGCTATACTGCTAGGATCTGTGCCATTACTTGGGTCACCTGCTGGTGGCACTGTGGTTCCCAGAGTCAAAAGGCACAGTTCTGGTGGTCACCAGTGGGTTGGACTTTCCAAGTAATTAGGTTGCATCTGATGTGGGCTGCTGGGAGCTACAGTCAGGTCCATAAATATTGGGACATCGACACAATTCTAACATTTTTGGCTCTATACACCACCACAATGGATTTGAAATGAAACTAACAAGATGTGCTTTAACTGCAGACTGTCAGCTTTAATTTGAGGGTATTTACATCCAAATCAGGTGAACGGTGTAGGAATTACAACAGTTTGCATATGTGCCTCCCACTTGTTAGGGGACCAAAAGTAATGGGACAGAATACTAATCATAAATCAAACTTTCACTTTTTAATACTTGGTTGCAAATCCTTTGCAGTCAATTACAGCCTGAAGTCTGAAACGCATAGACATCACCAGACGCTGGGTTTCATCCCTGGTGATGCTGTGCCAGACCTCTACTGCAACTGTCTTCAGTTCCTGCTTGTTCCTGGGGCATTTTCCCTTCAGTTTTGTCTTCAGCAAGTGAAATGCATGCTCAATCGGATTCAGGTCAGGTGATTGACTTGGCCATTGCATAACATTCCACTTCTTTCCCTTAAACTCTTTGGCTGCTTTTGCAGTATGCTTTGGGTCATTGTCCATCTGCAATTGACTACTGACTGTATATAAGCCATAACTGAGGTTCAGGGCTTCAGTATTATGTCAGGGATGCAGGCATCCAGCAAGGATAATTAGATCAGTTGGCTGCATGTTAAGGAATAAGGAACCAAACTGAATAAGATTAAAATACGTTTATTGAGACAACAACACACTACCAACACCATCACCTGTATACCATAAACAGTGCAAGTGACAAAATAAATGTGATTATGCAAACCCCAAATAACAACCTAAATAACTATATACAAAATGGAGGGAACACAGGAAAAAATCAGGACAGGGACAGGAGACAAAGGGAGCATACAGCCAGTTACTAGAAGCAGGAAGCAGCATACAGAGAACAGGTCACTGGAGCAGGTGTTAGGGTCAGGTACAAGGATCAGGAACAAGACTCAGGCAGGTGTGGCTTGCAGGAAAAATACTGAAGCCCTGAACCTCAGTTATGGGCGGGCTTATATAGCTCCCAGCAGCCCACATCAGGTGCAGACTAATTACTTGGACACCCCAGCTGCTGGGAGACAGCCCCAGGTGACCACCGGAACTATGCCCTTTGACTCTCAGACTGACTCAGACTTTTCAAGCAAATGGAAGAAGGACCTATAACTCACATTCACAGAGGATCAAAAGAAGAGGATTCTGTTTTTTGCCCATAAGGCCACTATCTGCAACAAATATCAGGGGATCTCCTACAAGACTGTCACCAGATAGTATAGGACACCATGGGGTTTATTTACTAAAGCTGGAGAGTCCAAAATCAGACTCCCTTCTGCATAGAAACCAATCGGCTTCTAACCTCAGCTTGTTCAATGAAGCTTTGGCAATGAAACCTGGAAGCTGATTGGTTTCTATGCAGAAGTGAGTCTGATTTTGCACTCTCCAGCTTTAGTAAATAAACCCCCATTAGTCATCGCTAAACATTTTCCATGGTGCCACTTGTTGGCAGTGAGGAACACATACGGGTTCCCTTTTAAATATTTTTTTTGGACTGTTCGGCACTAAAATCCTTCTGGCAAGCAATTATAGAGATAATTCAGCAACTTACAGGCTTTTCCCATCTGATAAACCCAAGGCTGTACTTCTTACAGCCATGTCTTTAAAAAGATATCACCGCAGCCCTCATGGACAAAAAAGTGCATTATTGGGAAGAATATAAATGTCAGATAAATATAAACAACCGCTTTAGGAGTCTATCTTCCCTCCATGGATGCTCTGACACCTTTATTTTATTGTTTCCAAACCATTATTATTATTATTATACAGCATTTATATAGCGCCAACAGTTTGCTCAGCGCTTTGCAATACAGACACAATACAGACACAATACAGTTCAATACAAGAGGGTTAGGAGGGCCCTGCTCCTTGGAGCTTACCATGGGTTCAGGTATCAATAGAAACAAATTTGTGTGTATCTACTGTACCTCCTTGGGCTGGAGCCCCCCTTCCTCTATTCTTTCTATCCCATAGTCCTACTTCCCAGATTTAAGACTCAGGGATTTCTTCCAAGCTAATTTTTTTAAAATATGAGTTCGGATTTACCCCCCTTCCTGACTAGGCCATTTTTTGCATTATGGAGCTGCTTTACTTTAACTGAAAACTGCGCGGTCATGCAATGCTGCACCCAAATGAAATTTTACGTCCTTTTTTCCCACAAATTGAGCTTTCTTTTGGTGATATTTGATTGCTTTTGCATTTTTTTATTTTTTTTGCGTGATAAAAAGACATGTCCAGTAAAAAATGTAAAAAAATTGAATTTCATCATAAATTTAGGCCAAACTGTATTCTGCTACAAGTCTTTGCTGAAAAAAATCCCAATACGTGTAAACTAATTGGTTTAAGTGAAAGTTCTACCGTTTAAAAATGGTGGTATAGAAAATGGAATTTTATTTTTTTTTTCTACTAATGGCAGCGATCAGCGACTTATAGTGGGACTGCGGTGGGCATTCTGATACTGGGGGGAACTGACTTGGTGTCACTGACATCAATACAGTGATCAGTGCTAAAAAAAAATGATACTGTACTAATGGCACTGGGCAGGAAGGGGTTAACTGTGTGCAGGGAGTGTTTTACTGGTGGGAGGTGTGTTGGTGCTTCAATGTAAGCACACTGCTCTGGATGACTGTGCTGGATACACAGCTTTACTATTGGTCATGGAAATTTATATCCATACGGACTGTACTGTGTGTTCGCATGGACTATACATCACTGTTCGTCTGTTTTATGCTGATTTGATCATTGTTTTTTTATATATATGATTTTATAGTGAATATGTGTGATAAGTGAATTTCCTATTATATGTCAGTATTTGTCACTTTTTTGCATATGGAGGCTTTGTCTGTAAAGGAATCTGATCTCGGCTCTGTGCTGTGTGGGAAGGAGGAGATCTGAGTACCCAGACTATGTGCAGCGTACTATGCTACCTAACTATGGCCATACTATGCTACCTAACCACATTCATGAAAAGCATGATGGGAGTTAGGTTTGTAGGCAGCTGCAAACAAGCTCAGTTCCTCACCATTTTTCTGAATTAAGTGTCAAATTCTATCTCAAACTGAACTCAAATCTCATCCCTAGTCTGTAATAAGTTTTGCCTTTTCTTACAATATGTGGACCGATTGTGCAGTAAAAATACTCTTGTTTTTCTGCTAATGACTTTTATCTCTCATTTTCAAAACATTGTACAGTGATACCTCATTTAAAAATCAGGTTGAATGCACATGATCAGTTTATCAAATATTGAAGAGGAAAAAAATAAAAGAGCATACATAGAACTCACTAAAAAGTAGAGAAAAGAAAGTTTTTATGTCGATCGTGAGATTGCTATTTAATGTGCATCTCAACCCAAGAACAAAATATTTTAGATGCAGTGGCTACTATACAATACTTTATAATAAATGTAATCACTATATTACTTGGTGTTGTCCAGTACACTGGTTGTGTACAGAGAAGCTGCCCTCTATAATGTACTTGCAGAGTATGTTGCATATGTGCCATTAAACTGAGGAGAGCATGTCTTCTAGGTGCCTGGGTTTTGGGTTTGGTTACCGTCCAAGAGACTATTATGTGTTAAATTGGGTTTCCTATAGTATGCTCTCAATGATCATTTTAATCAGTCAGCTATAGGAAAAACAATGTTTACACGTGTAACCATTTTGTTAAGGTGATTAAAATATGGACGCTTTCAAACTTTCCACCCCTATCCGCAGATTATGCTTAAGGGCTCGTTCACACTTGACTTTATTTATAACTCTTGCCAAACGCCCCTATAGTGTTTGACAGGCGTTAGACAGGCATTTGTGAAGCTTTTTTAATGCTCCTCAAACGCTCCCAAAATGCCCTATGCGGGGTTTTGAGGCGGTTGAGCGTTAAAACCGCACCACAAACTCTTATAATGAAGTTAAATAGTATTAACACTTCGCAAACGCCTCGCAACCACACCGCAAATGCCTGCCAAGCGTTTGCGGAGCGGCACCATAGACTTGAATGGGAGGCTTTAACTCCTCCTGACTCGACCCGAGGCATCAGTTTTGCCTGACTCTAACGTTTCCGTGTGAACAGCACTGTGTGCTGCTATGTGCAGAATTTTCATAAGCGTTTGAGAAGCGTTAAAAACGCTTTCCAAATGCCTGTCTGACGCCTGCTGACAAAGCTAATGTGAACGTACCCTTAGTGATATAAAATGTTCCTCAGTGCTCTTTGAACATCCTTATTCCTAAAACTGTATAATAAAGGATTTATAAGAGGAGTGACCACAGCATACACCAGAGAAAACATGTGATTATAAAATGACTTAGAAGATGGACGGAGATAATTTAAGATGCCTGTCCCAAAGAAGATGCAGACCACCAAGAGATGAGAAGAACAAGTGGAGAAGGTTTTTTTCTTTCCACTGGCGCTGGGGATCTTGATTACTGCCCGAATAACAAAGATGTATGAGATTAGAGTTAAAACAAAAGAGCCAACAAGCACACCGCCACCAAAAAAATAGACCACCAATTGGTTAATGTAAGTTTTCTTGCAGGACATCTTCAGAAGTGATGGAAGCTCACAGAAATAATGTCTAATAAGGCGGTCATGACAATAGGGTAATGTCGCTGTAAGAACAGTGTTCACTACTGATGTTATAAATCCAATAGTCCAGCAAATGATTATCATGTAGAAGCAAACTGATCTGTTCATGATTGCAGTATACAACAAAGGTTGGCATATGGCTACATATCTGTCATATGCCATGATACCAAGCAGAATGCATTCCGAGCCTACCAAAATATAGAATGTAAACATCTGGGCGAAGCAACCTACAAATGAGATTCTTTTATCTTCATTTAGTAGATTAGCTAAAGTATTTGGAGTGATCGCTGTAGTGTACAATAATTCAATTATAGCGAGGTTCACTAAAAAGAAGTACATGGGTGTGTGAAGATGAGAATCAAAGCTGACGACAGTTATAACCATTGCATTTGCAGCTATGGTCATAATGTAAGTAAGAGTGATTGCCATGAAAACCCATGCCTGGTATGCTGGTAAAGTCACTAAGCCTAGGAATAGAAATCCATCGACAAATGTGATATTATTTTTCATCGCATTCTCTTTATACCTTTTTGTTTCATAAAGAAAACAAGAAATACACTTTAGCATGTGTAATCTTTGTATGTGCAAAGAAAATTATAAGGTATTTAAAGTGGCCCTGTCGGCAGAATTACATTGGTCATGAAGTTGTGCCTGTAAAAGAAAATAGAAAATATAATCTTTCTAATTGCCGGTTCCTCTAAATGCCACTGCATTAATGAGAAAGAGTCTTTACAGAAACTGACACTCCCAAGAATATTGATCTCCTGTGTCCCATGAAAGACATGAAAGATCAACACTCCCAAAAGGTGGTGAATGCCAAAGACCCGTGTCTTTTTTCAACCTTATCAGCTATGGTATGTAACTGCAGCACTGGAACAGAAAAGAGATAGGAGACAGAGGCACCACGACAGGTGAGTATACTACCTCTTCTTTTATAAGGACTGCAACTTTTATTTCTTTATTTTTTCTTCCTCATTTTTTTTTTGGTAATTCTAACGTATGATCTATTTTGTAGGGTTCCTTCCTTCTGCTCCCTAGCATTTAATTCCATAACAAGCCATTGGGTAATTTAGAATTTAGACATCCCTACTAAACTGGAATATCAGCAATTTCGCTTAGTGTGGAATAAGAAAAGTTTATAATCTCCGTCAAATTATCCCTGTTCTTGTTGGGGAAGCTTGCCCTAAGGCAAGCAATAGACCGTGAAAATTTCTTTCCTGCATCCATGGGTCAGTCGTCCCCGCTCGGAGAAGAAAATCGGGTTGATTTACAAAAGCTAAATAGACTGTGCACTGCAGTGCACTGCAGTGCACTGCAAGTGCAGTTGCTCTAGATCTGAGGGGAACATGAAAGGAAAATAAAAAAAAAAACAGCATTTTTGCTTGCACATAATTGGATAAAAGAAATCAGGAGAGCTTCGCCTCATTTCAGAGCTTCCCCTCAGATCTAAAGCAACTACACTTGCAGTGCACAGCCTATTTACCTTTCGTACACGTGTCAAACACAAGGCCCGTGGGCTGAATCTGGCCTGCCAGGCCATTTCATATGGCCCTCGCACTTCTTCAGCAGCTGTGGTACCCCCCTTGTCTCAACAGTAAACAGCAAAGAGGAGGACAGTGCTCCTCCTACAGATCTTGCACCTCTGTGTGCAGCCTCGGTACCCCCTTGTCTCTGCTTCCCCTGGTCCCAGCATTCAGCAGACTCCAGCAGCTGACTCCAGCCATCCCCTGGTCCTCATCTAGACCCTACACCTTCTTCATCCCAGTTCTGCCCCAGCTTCTTTCCAGCAGCAGCATAAGGCAAGGGGGTGCACTGTGATGTAAGTGAGGTTGGGAAGCCTCTTGTCTTCTGATTGTGGGGTGACTCTTGACATTTGATGTAAGGGGGGGATGTGGGGTTCTCTGAACATTTAGTCTTACAGATACATCCGGCCCTTTGAGGTCAACCATAATACTGATGTGGCTCGCAATGAAATTGAGTTTGACACCCCTGCTTTAGTAAGTCAACCCGAATGATTATTGCTAGCCATTATAACAGCCACTAGCAATAATTGCTTGTAAAATCTGGCAGGCTGGTTGTCAATCAATCAACTTGGGTACATTCAGCCTTCCCATACATGGTTCGAATCTCAGTCGGTTCTAGCGGAAGCTGCCGAGATTCGAACTGCCAATGACCAGCTTTACTTTTTGCACTGGAGGTCTTTGTATCCCAGAATGAAATTAAGGGGATAACTCCTCAATAGTATACAGACAGCAGGTAAAAATAAAGAATTGTTATTGCAATCATTGTTCCCCCTGGATTTTGATTTGTGAGATTTGGTCTCCACATCACCCACACAGACAAGCAAAAAATCTGATAAGGGTAATAAGTATTATCTACTCGTTTCAAAGCCAGGAAAAAACATTTTGGCTAAAGTTAAATGTAAAAAGACATGGTAATTCAATGTGTTCTTTTGGCAAAAACACTCACCAAGTTGTTTGTGCTTAAAGCACATTAAACCAAAAAGCAAACTTTTTATTATATTGCAGCTTACCAATTCGTAGATGTGATGGCTGCATTTCTTTTTTTTTTCTTTCTTTTAATCTGGTGATTTGGCCAGTAAGTCTGTAATTTTTCAAAAGAAGAAGCTCTCTTGCAGATGTATCAGTTTCATGGATGAGACAAATGATTTACTACTTACAGGGGTGCTCACAATGATCAATTAATTTTTTATGTAAAACATGTATCCCAAAAGGAAAAAAAAAACTATTTCCTGTAACTGCTTATAAAGTATTAGCTGGAGTTTGGATTCAATTTGTTTGTGTATCTATGTCTGCTAATACTTCTCTCCTCCCAGACTACCAATGTTGCTGTCCAAAGGTATTCCCTGTGCTCTTTCATACAGAGTGGAGGACACTGTAATACAGGAGGTGTGTTACTGGCCATATCACCAGGTGAAAACAGAGGAAAAGGCTAAAAAGAAAATGTAAGACTGGTAAGCTACAATACTGTATCTTTCATTTTTGTGTTTTAATACTGCTTTAAGTATCCGTGCATCAACTTATCAACTTACAGCTGTATCCATCTTTTTGGAGATGTTTACTCATTAATATTGCAATGCATTCCATGCACCCTTTTCATCCAGGTCTCTCCCCTCTACTTATAAGACACAAATGTGCCTCTGGAGGATATCCTGAAAGCGTGTTTTCACATTATGGCTACACCGTTTAAAAGATCACCCATTTATCCTTTTTGAGACCTGATCTCTGATATTTTCATTTGCAATAATTATAGCAATCTCCTGTTATTGTGAGTACCCATCCCACATATCTGCGTCAATGTGGTTTGCTTACTTCACAAGTTTCATTAGGATGCTGACACATGTATACAGGGTTACCTTACTTATTGTACCCTTTATTCCACTTGCAGAAAATGTTCAGAAATTGTTACATTATAAACTACCAAGAGCGTGTAGGGTGGAGTTTTCATAGACCTAGGAACATTCTTTTTTCCAAACTAACACAGAAAAAAACCTTACCTTGCACTCATGCATAGTAGATAGTTATTTTTTTTCTTTTTAACCCCTTTGGGATATCTCATGTTAAGAAAAGTATACTGCCATGAGGCACTTTTCATTTACAAATATTGTATACCTTATGTGTTTGTACAGCTGAACCTTCCATTTTTGAAATGACAGGGACACATTAGTTGATATATCATTTGTGATGTGTAACAGTTAATAATACTGTTAATATGGAATCTTCTCTCTAACTTTGGTGGATCAAATAGGTGTCAGGATATTTGACATAAATAATAGGTGCATGGTAATCTACAGTATAATATCATCAAAAAAAGCATTTTTTTTTTTTATTTTTATATAAACGAAAAAAAATACAATATTTTGTACTTTCTGGTATAAAACTTATCCAACAAAAAAATTTAAAGAAATCACATTTATTCATAAATATTGGCCAAAATGTATTCTGCTACATGTCTTTTATTAAAAAATCCTACTGAGTGTACATTGATTGGTTGCATGTAATTTATAGTGCCTACAAACTATGGTATGTATGTATGTATGTATGTGTGTGTGTGTATATATATATATATATATATATATATATATATATATATATATAATCTTTTTTTTTTTTTTTTATACTACTAATGGGGGTGCTCAGTGACTTCGGGTATGCGCTGAGCAATCTGACACTGACTAACTGCCACTGACATCACTGACAGTGATCAGTGTTAATACTATGCACCAGCGGTCATTAAATGTCAGATCATGGTCTGAACATTGTCCGAGGGACGCTTCTGTCCAGACTGTCAGCCCACCAGTATAAAATGCCAGATCTCTGCCACTCAGCAGTCATTGGTTGCTGGGACTGGGGGCGTCCCAGCAACCAATGGCATCACGTGCACACTCAGATGGGCAAACACGATGTAAAGGGGCACGCTGATGGGAAAATATGATGGAAAGGGGTACGTTGAAGGGGACACCTGATGTAAAGGGGCACTCTGATGAGGAAAACTGATGTAAATGGGGCACTTTGAGGAAAAAATTTGATGTGATGAACACACCTGGTGTAAGGGGGCACTCTGATTGGGAAAACTCTATGTAAGGGGGCACACTGGTGGGATACACCAGATGTATGGGGGCCTTCTTCTGCAGACACCTGATGTAAGGGGGCACTCTGGCGGGCACACCTAATATAAAGGAGCAGTCTAATGGGAACACCTAATGTAAGGGGGCACTCTAATGGGAACACCCTATGTAAGGGGTCACTGTGATGGGGGAACCTTACATAATGGGGCTTTCTGATGGGGACAAATGATGTAGAGGGGAATATTGATGGGAGACACCAGATGTAAGGGGGCACTCTGACAGAAATACCTGATGTAAGGTGGCACTCTGATGGGAACGCCTTACTTAAGGGGGCACTCTGATGGGGACACCTGATATAAATTGTTATAAATTGTACATTTCTTATTTTGTGATTAGACATACAGTGACTATAATCTTTATGTGTCATAGCACAAACTTGAGATTTGGACCTCGGCTGGAAGAAAATTTCAGTTACCGGACCTCCTTGAATTTTAATTCAATACCCCTGCTACACACTGTCACTGTGTACTAATGGCACTGGCTGGGGTGTAACATCTGGGGTGATCAAGGGGTTACAGTGTGCCTAACTATGTGTAATGTGTGTACAATGTGCTGTTTTTACTAAACAATCTCTAAGTTGATAATAATAATAAAAATGATATCCAAACAACATTGTGTGTCACGGTTTTGTTTGGGCAGTTGTCTGTAAATATACAGTTTGGGGTAACAACCCAAATATAATTATTCCTAAGCATACAAAGCTATGCTATACAGATAATTTTGTAAGTAGAAATATAGCTATTTGACAGTTTACATGAGAGGAATCCAGCAAAGTAGTTAC